ACCAGCTCGCGCGGCCAAACCGAGCAAGCAGATCCACAAGATATCTCTTGGCAGATTTTGGTTTTAACAACTAGTGGCACGAAGCCAGAGCTGGTTTGAGAGCACAAGTGGGGTGCAACCCAGATGCAAAACTGACACATGTTCCTCAAAAAGTATGATATTCAGTCCAGAGATCACCCCACCCGAGAACAAGAGCCGTCCACCAAGCCCATCCAAAGGAATCAGCAACTGAACAGCAACTGCTGGGGACCCGACTCCGTAGAAGTTTGACAAGCTGTCAAGTCAGGCCCAGGTTTTGCAATGCTTTGGTGGCACTATGTTTGAGTACTGGTTTGACTTCAAACCTTTCTCATTACAGTCATTTCACACCAGGATGCAAGTGATAGCTTGTTGTCACCTTATCGGCTGTGTGCAAAAGACTTGTTGGGCCGATATATGGGCAAGTGTCTGAGCTTGGGACTCCACATCACAGGCTTCACTGCTTTAACCCGATGTTTGTTGTTTAATCAAGGGCAACGACCGCAAGCAAAAGCACCCATCCATACTGAGGCATGCCAGCCGAGAACGTCATTTGGAAAGGAACACTGCTACCGCTTCACTTGGGGTCGTCACCAAGCAGGCAAGCGCGACATACGTGCGACTCTGTTTGGTTTTGCCATTCGGCTCTACCTGCAGCAGCAAAGGCGTTTGGACTGTTGCAGACTTTATGTGGAGTCTAAGGATGAGCGAAATTGCAAGCGCTCTGCGAACAAAGTGTCAGGCATCAGCCGTTGCATGGATGAGAGGAACATATGATCATGTCGTGTGATGGTGGCATCCATCAAGTGAAGGGGCTGAATGTGATGTTGACTGGAGCTCAAGCGATGCAAGTTTACGAATCTGGGAAAGCTTGTCAAGCAAAAGTGACCCGAGAGAGCAGACACGCCAACATTAGGGACTCTCACTCATTCGGCTGGATCTCTACAAGCAGACTCCATCCGGGTATCGCTTGCCCCTTTGGGGTGGTTGTTCTAAAAACCAGCAGCTTTCCTTCCAAAAAATGTACCACCTCGCCCCCACGAATGACAATAGAGCTTTACCTGACTCAAATCCATTCCTGGATTTCTAGCGCATGTTTTTATTTTTGGCATACGATGTTTCGATGTTTATTCTCCAGGCTTTTTGTTTTCGTGGGCGTTCAGCTTGCAGCTTGTGCCCACGGCAGGAGCTTTCGGTCTGCAGACTTTGAAGTTGGATGTACCCTCACTCCGACTAACATGGCACCTGCCAGAAGGTCCCTACAGGAAAATGATCTTCCAGGTACCCTCCCACAGGTGCTATGTTAGTGGTAGGGACGGTAATGCCTTTGCGATTTGCTTCACCTGCGAATTGAAGCATGACGTCTTTTTTTCTGGGCATTCCTGTGTCCAGAACCCTTTGCTCACAACTATCGCGACAGTTGACTTGGTTGAAGAATTCGGAGATGTGATTATTCTTGCCGGTGCTGCTCTAACCAAGCAGCGGCGTTGTTTCAGGTGAGATCAGTCCATTCTGCTTCACAAACTGGCCGTCATGTGCTCAAAAGCTGAAGATTCAACCTGACAAATGCACACTTGGAAGCATTGGGCAGCGGCGCAGCGCTTAGTATGTGGCAGTCTGTCTCTGCAAACTCGGCAGATCCCGGCAGGGGCATTCCGGCAAGGGTTCTGAATTCCAGACCCCTGGCAGGTAGGTTCTTCGACGAAGACATTTGCCCCTGCTACAAGGCAGTCAGCGGCAAACGTGTGATGCCAAGATACATCACCACCAAAGCGGCTTGGGCAAATCACATGTGGTTGTCGGACCGGGTTGTGAAGAAACGCACCCATCCCAAATTCATTGCGTTAAGCAAGAGGTTTTCCAACTTAGCTGGGCATGCCTTATCCGAGGCGGAATCGACTCCCATTTTGGTTTCGCATGTCACAGCACTCCTAACATTGATTTTGAGCGGCTGGGGGGGGAAGCTGGGAAGATAGTCAAGAGAGGGCAGATAGGCCCAGTTGTGTGACTCCACTGCCAACCAACAACTTCAACATCGAAATGCTACGTACCTTCATGGCGACACGGTGTGAACATGTAAACGCTTTGCACTTTGGAAGTTGCGCGTTACATCGAGCAAGCTGACTCCTTACCAGTACACTCAAGGATGGGATTGCAGTGACATCCGGAGCTGCCCGACCTATGAGAGATGGGCAGAAATTGGAGCGTTCGGCGAAGAAAAACATGGAGACACCAATCAACCTGTCTCCAACCACTCGTGCCTCCTCGAAAGACAAGTCGGCGATGAGCGATGAGTGCACAAATTCAGGCCAAACCAGACAGCTTGGGCTGATATGGGTGATATTTGGTAAAGCCACCTCGCCATGCAAAGGCTTTGTGATCTCTACAAATCCTTTGCAGCTCTTTGTGAGAAGCTTTGTCCATCCCTGTGGTGCTTTGCAAACCCCCACCGATGTGGGAAGCAAAACTCATAGTTGACGTT